AATATGGATCTCTTCCAGTCAGTTGGCCAGGTAGCTGTCTTCCAAATCTCTTGGCATAACTGAGTGAGTGCCTCCAATGGGGCATCTGTTTGTTGAAATAATCTCAATCGGTATGCCATCATAGATATGTCATCAGAGGTAAAGATAGAAGACATAAATTAACAATCAAAATGAAAAGATTTCACTATAGATTCCTCAGTCATTACAATACACTAGTCTCATAAATTTACATCTTGGATGAAATGAAGTAATCCTAGAAAGACACAAGCTATCAAAACTCAAGAAGAATATAAAATATGCCATACTGTTTCATTCCTCCATATCTTTCACTGAGTTCCCACTGCTGACAGCCTTTCTTCCATCCCTTCCCTGCCTTCATTCGCTCAATAAATTTGTTTGTTCTTCAGACTCTGCTCAAATTTTACCTGTGTAGAAGCCTTCCCTCAAAAAAGAAAGAGTTTATTTTTCTCTGGGATCGTATGGGTTCTTGAGCATACTTTAATTGTACTGAATCACACAAAACTATTATTAATATCAATGTAGCTTCTTTTTTCCATGAAATATCCCTTTTTTTTTTTCTTGGCAAGAACATTCTGCTTACTCATAACTGTAGAAGTTTGTTTTGTGACTAGTTTCCAAAATTAAGCAAGTCAAGAATAAATTTGGATAACAGTGTAATATTACAACAGTGTAATATACAGACAGTGTTCTTGGGATTTTACAATTAGCATGAATTAAAAAAGAATCAAAAAAGAATACATTTGTGCATGGGAGTTAAGGCAATTTTTAGAAAGTCTCTTAAACATTACTGAAACTTTTTCTGACACCTTTGAGATTACTCCTTCAAATCAGATTTCCTTAAACCGAATACCTAATATCTAAGGAGTATCCATATCTGTAATCCTTGTCTTAAAAATACAGGCTATTGTTTCTAACCAAGTAATTGAGGAATCTGAGGATGAAGATGTAAAAAATGAAAGGAAGAAAGATCTGGCACTGTCTCATACGTTGCAGAATTATCCACTGTTTCTTAAAGAACTTACAAAGGTAAAGTTACTCAATGACTAACATGGCTCTGAGCTTTAGCCCACATTCCCTGCCAAGAACTTATTGGTAGTATTACTAATTCGTTGCAGTACTATGGGATATGTATATTCCAATACTCTCCCAGTGAAATCAAGACCAGAAGGGGGAAGACTTCCTGTGGAACTGTCCCAGACAGTGGTCCATAGAGGTCTATGGTTATGTTTGTAGTACCCCATAACCAATGATTCAATACAATGTGGATTGTTTTTGTTTTCTCAGATTTATTATAAGTGCCCAGTTGTAAAGGCTGTGAGAAATATTTCCCTTGTAGTCAAAAAGTCCGAGTGCTTTGGATTACTTGGATTAAGTGGAGCTGGAAAAACTACACTCTTGAAAATGTTGACTGGAGAGGAGCCCATCACCTCTGGAGTTGTGCTAATTGATGGCATTAACATCACTGAAAATATCAGAGAGGTATTTCTGATCTTAATTACTGGTTTGGTGCCCTGATGGAGGCACTTAACCAGGAAAATGGGTGGAGACATGGAAGTGAAGTCTGGGGAATTGATATTTGCTGGATCTATATACAGATCTAGGAGCTCTGGTAGCATAGTGCCTAAGGCACTTGACTGCTCACTAGGAGGCTGACGGTTCAAACCCACCAGCCACTCCTCAGAAGGAAGGTTGGGCAATCCTACTTCCGTAGTGATACTGCCTCGGAAACCCAAGGAGGGGTCGCTATGAGTCGGGGCCGACTCGACGGCGGAAGGAAGGTTGGGCAATCCTACTTCCGTAGTGATACTGCCTCGGAAACCCAAGGAGGGGTCGCTATGAGTCGGGGCCGACTCGATGGCACATAACAACAACAACAACAATATATATACACACACACACACACACACATACATATGTGTGTGTATGTATGAGTATTCTTAACAGATTCAAGGTACAATGATAGGCTTGTTACTATCTTGAGTTGAGGAAAGGCAATTTTTTTTTTACCCTGTGTGAAGCAATATATGAGTATCAGTAAAGGGACCAAACTGGAAACAGGAGAGCAGTTATTTCATTTAACTTGGAATGACATAAAAGGTTGGAACTAAAACAATGATTAGAAGAAGTTGTGAAAGAGAAAAAGATAGTAAAATTTACAGAAATGGTGCTCCATTTGGGTATGCCTTATAGTGGATATAAATGAACTTAAGATATCTCCTGTAAGGAAATATGTTTGGTTTGGAAAATGAGGGAAACATGCGATGAGATGAATGGACACAATAGCCACAAGAGTGAACTCAGATATACCGAAGAGTGAACTCAAATATACCAATGATCATGTAGCATTTCATTTTGTTTTATGTAATGTTGCCATGAATCAAAGCTGTCTCAATGGTGACTAAAAAGTTATCACCCAGGTTTCTATATTGAGCTAGTCAGTGGATGAAAGTTCCATTCACCAAGATAGTAAATACAGAAGGATGCATGTTTGGAGAAGGGTATGTTGAGCTTATGGTGTCTATGACACATCTAAATGGGAGAACATCCAATAGACAGATGTCTTGTATGAAAAGAATCAATAGATATGAATATAGAATTCATCAAAGCACAAATGAATTTAGACCATGGAAGTACATGAGTTAAGCTATCAAGAGTGAGTATCAAAAGATAAGAAAAATATTTACTGAATCCTGAGGATTATCGACATTTCTAATGTAGAGGAATAAAATTGGAGAGAAATGGGAAGGATAAGTAAACGAGGTAGAAGGAAAATCTGGATACAGTTGTATTACACTATATGAGGAATGAAGTGAGGAGATTATTTCGAGAAGAAAATGAAACACATTATAAGGCATTAATGGTGTGAGCAACGTTCAGTGGACATCACTGAAGCCTGAATGCAGAGGGATGACAAATAGACAAATGAAGATGAGAAAATAGTGAGTATAGACAAAACTTTGAAGAAATATAGCTATGAATCAAGGACTAAGAGTTTTTGCCCTGAGTTTGAAGAGATAACAATGAGGGAGTTTTCATTTTGAAAAACTTGGTCATATTTATATGACTGGAAAGCAGCAGTAAAAGAAGTCTAAAATACATAGAACAGAGTGGAGGAAAGGAGGAATACATTCACATGTAAACAATATGAAAAGGTATTCAAGTAGCACATCTCATTCTCTGTCCTACCCATCTTTGCTTCATTTTTCCCTAAGGCCACAGTTTTTATGTATATACAATCAAATATAAATATATCTTTTTCTCTTATTACACAAAAGGGAAAATACTATACATAATCTTCTGGACTTCACAACATTGCTTTCCATACGTGGTTGCACTACACTAGCAGTGTATATGATTTCCTGTTTCCCTGTATTGATCAGAAGAGTGTATGTGATCAGTCTCTTGGTTTTTTGTCAGTCTGGTAGATATTTTTAAGTGATCTGTCAGAATTGGTTGACATCAGCCATTTCAGGAGGTAACATATGATCAAGAACCAATGGTATTGAAGGAAGAAGTCTAAGTGGCACTGAAGGCATTGGTCAAAAGCAAGGTTCCAGGAATTGATGAAATGTCCACTGAGGTGGACGTGCTTACACATTTATGCCAACTGACTGGAAGAGATCTGTATTTGTGCCATTCCAAAGAAAGATGATTCAACAGAATATGGAAATGATAGAACAGTACCATTAATATCACACACAAGTAAAATTTTGCTGAAAATAATTCAAGCATGGTTGCAATATGTTGAGAGTGAACTGTCATAAATTCAGGCCAGATACAGAAGGAGATGTGGAATGAGGGATATCATTGCTTCTGTCACATGGATCTTGGCTAAAAGCAGAGAATGGCAAAAAGATGTTTGCCTGTGTTTTATTGACTATGCAAAGGTATTCAACTGTGTGGATTATGATAAAATCTAGATAACTTTGCAAAGAATGAGAATTCTAGAACACTTAATTGTGTTCATGAGGAACCTTTACATAGACCAAGGGGCTGTTATTTGAACAGAACAAGGGCATAGGGCATGGTTTAAAATAACAAAAAGGTGTGCTGTACTGCAGGGTTGTATCTTTCACCATACTTACCCAATCTGTATGCTAAGCAAATAATCTAAGAATTGGACTATGTGAAGAAGAATGCAGCATCAGGATTGGAGGAAGACTCATTAAGTAACCTGCAATACACAAATGACACAACTTTGTTTGGTGGAAGCAAAGAGGACTTGAAGCACTGATGAAAATTGGACAACAGCCTTCAGTATAGATTACAATTCAACATAAAGAAAACAAAAATCCTCACAAATGGACCAATAAATGGCATCATGATAAATGGAAAAAAGACTGAAGAGTCCAGACTGTGGTAGTCATTGGGCATGCAGACTGAAGACTGCTCCATAGGTGAACCATCTCAATGACCATTTGTCAGTTTTTCCTTCAAGGCTGGTGCTGCTTTGGAGACCAGTGCTGGAATGAATATCCCAGCACCAGGGGTGTGAGCAGGGGATGACAACAGCCTCAGCAACAGCCCTCAGGCAGTAATAGACATGGATGGGATGCCACTAACCAGAGATACTCCAGTGTGATCCAGCCATCCAGTTTCTCCATATCTACACCATGGGATGAGGGAGGGCAGCAGAGATCAAGGGAAGGCATCATTCAGTTCTTTTGCATCAGGAGCTTCAGCTAGCAGCAACAGGCAGTCTGAATTGTCTCATAATTCACTTGCTTAGTCCTGATGAAGAAAAGGATGATAAGAAACTTCTGGAAGGAACTGTAAAAGATATTGAGATTTGGGAATCATCAGGGCAGTGGATGTCTTCTGTTTATTCACCAATGAAAAACAAACCTAATACTTCATGTACTTATTCCTTTGAAATTCCTGACAAAGATATTAAAAAAAAAAAAACTAGTGCTAAGTTTTCTCAGAGAAATAAAGGAAAACACAGAAAATTTTCAGAAGAATTCAGGAAAACAGTACAAGAACAAAGTGAGAAGCTCAAGAAAGAGGTAGAAACCTTAAATAAAAGCAACTAGAAATTCCTAAGCTTAATAATAAAATAAAAGAAATAAATAATTCCATGGAAGAACATAGAAATAGAATTGAAACAAAAAAAAGGAATAGTCAGTGAAATAGAAAACTGCTGAGATGACTCAGTTTGAGGAACAAATGGAAAAAAGAACAACAACAAAAAAAAAGAGCCTATGGCTTACGTATGACACCATCAAGAGAAACAATATATGCATAATAGGAATTCCAGAAGAAGAAAAGAGGGGGGAAAGTCCAGAAGAAATTTTTGAAGAAGTCATGTCAGAAAACTTCCCAAATAATATGAAAGATGAAGAGATTTTCACCCAAGAAGCTTAGCAAACTCCATCTAGACTAAACTCTAAGAGAAACACACCAACACATATCATAATTGAACTATCTAGAAATTAAGATAAAGAATTTTGAAAGCAGCACAAGAAAAGCGAAATATCATCTACAAAAGGGTTTGTAGGTGATATAAGATTAAGTGCTGACTTCTCATCAGAAACAATACAGGCAAGAAGGCGATGGGGTGACATATACAAAGTCTTGAAAGAACAAAATTACCAGGCAAGAATAATATACCCAGCAAAATTGTCATTCAAAAATGAGAGTGAAATTAGATCATTCTCAGATAAGCAGAAATTAAGGGAATTTGTAAACACCAGACTATCCCTACATGAAATATTAAAGGGAGTCCTCCAGGAAGAAAACTAACACCAGCCAACAACCCAAAGTATTGACACTTAAGAACCACCTGAAGACATATAACAACAAAATAAACATATAATGAGATTACAGGGAATCCAGGATGCCAAGTTGTAGTTGACACTAACATCAAAATAAAAAGGAGGATAATTGGTGTAGATACAGAATTTTCACATGTTAAGGAAGATCCGGTTCAAGATACAATAGATTGTTTTAAATGTAGGATGTTAAATTTAAAAACCTCATAGTAACCACAAAGAAAGTGAATTAATCTATTCACCAAAATAAAGGAAACAAAAAGACTCAGTAATCACAAATTAATAACTATAAAGGAAAAAATGTGTTAAAAAAAAACTGAGCACTGAAGGTAAGGAGGAACAGAGAAACCATCAACCTCAACAACAAAAACAAAGTATAAGAAAATGTCTTAAATAAATCTGATGAAATTACAGTGACTATAAGTGGAGTAAATGCTCCAGTTAAGAGACAAGGTAGCAGAACAGATTAAAAATATGACTCATTCATATGTTTACAAGAGCTGCATCTTAGACACAGCAACAGAAATAGGATGGGGGAAAAAATACACCAAGCAAACAGTAAAAAGAGCAAAAGTGGCAATATTAATATCTGACAAAATAGATTTTAAGTCAAAATTCATAAAAGGACATTATATGATGACAGAACACACTTGACAACATATCCAGAAACCAACCCAGATTTAGAAGTATCCAAAGTAAATATCTACA